CATTGTCCTAAGATGCTATGACACGACACACTTGCCAAGTTTACTAATGATCTCATCTTTTAAAAATCTTAATGTAATGTAGCAAACAGATGTGTCCCTTAAGAGGATTAAGGTGGAAATTCATTAGTGCAATAATACCAGTGGATTTGTGTTCTAAAACTAACACCAATCAATCAACTTAGTGCACACCCTGTCTTAGCACTACTTAGCTTCTAGAGGCAACATAGAGAATGGGCAGCTGGGTCTTCTCCCTCAAGGAAGCTATCTGCAAACATAAGAAACAGTGAGAAACCCTGCACTGAGTGACTTAGCTACATCACCTGTAATAGGTGCTGTTCAGACTGTAGCGTGCACAGGTATCACCAAAGCATCTTGGTAAAATGCATGTTCTGATTCAGCAGGTCAAGGGAGGTCAGAGAGTGTGCAGTTCTAATAAAGGCCCAGATGATGCCCAACCCACACTCCATATAGTAGGAAGATCTAATCCTCACTGTCATGGGTTAGTTTACAGATGGGATAGCCAAGGCAACAAGGCAACCACCAAAACAAAGGTAGTGAGAAAGGAACAATCAGGGAACATTCAAGTCTTATCCAATGAGGATGCATGCTGGAATGTGGACAGCTGCCTGGAAGGAGAACATTTAAGACACAAAAGAAGAGTCATTAAGAGCTTAGATCTGATGTCAGAAGCCAACTCTGCAACTTCAAACTGTGTGACCAAGTGGCTTCCTTCCAGTCTTGGTCTCTCTTGGTATAACATGCAATATCACCAGTACTTGGCCCGGGGATGGTTATGGGGTTGGTGAATAGACACATGTCTAGAATAGTCCCTGACTCAGACAAATGCCTAGGACACATTAGCTATTATAACTAGTCTCTCTAACCTACAGCAGGCAATGAAACATTTTCTGAATTAAATTACAACATCATTTTTAAAACTTACTGTTTTGATGTGTATGCTAATAGTCATCACTTTGTTAAAAAAAAATCTACAATTCTACAATTCCAGTTTTGTCCATCAAAGAGGAAAAAAGATAATCCTTGGATCCTTAAATTCCTTTAGCATCAGACAATCCAAAACACATTTTATGCTTTAAAATGCCCATTATGCTATTAATTCTGCTGCAATGTTTTTTTTTAAATTAGAAGTCCTATAATTACAACTTTTCTTTAAAATCATTAAGCCAGAAATAAACACCTAATTATGCATCATTTGAAGACAAAAACAAAAGGCTTCACTAACTGCAGCCAAAACATAACCACCAAAATGAACATCTCTCCTGTTTTGACCATTTTTATTACCAAACTAATGATTTATTTAATCATCTTGCCTACTATGAAAAGCTGGTAGGGGTTTTTTGTTCTTTGGTTGGTTTGATTCTGTTTATTTCCCCAGCTCTGTCAGCTGGCAGGGCCGGGGTAGGGGGTAGGAAGGAGATAAAGCATAATAAGTATAATATATTGTTTTTGTCCAAGACAATAGTTTTGTTTAATGAATAACTTCTAATGAAATCAGCAGAGATCAGTAAAATTAATAGATCATTAGTTAAGATGTCCAGGCTTAAGCTTCAGCCAGAAAGGTCTTAGAGGTTGTCCAGTTCAACGGCTCCCAGGACAAGAGAATCCCTACACCAGCTTTAAAAATTGAGTTCCTCTGGGGTAGCTTTTTCCAGGTTGGTTACCTGTGTGTGTGAAAACTCATCCAACCACACACTAATGCACTGTATTTTTCTGTGAGGATTGGGGGAATCTACTTCAATCATAAGTTACTCCCTCAGAGACTTGAACATGCAGGACAGCTGAGAACACTGGGAGTGTGTGCACGTTCCATGCTCATGCTGTCCCCTTTCCACCACCCAGAGTGCCCTCCCCCTGCCCAAAGCAACTCCCCATCTTGCCAAGGTCAAAGTCGGTGGATCTGGGAGAAGTGTTCTCTGTAGCCCCAGAGAGCTTACTTGTGGCAGGCTCCTGGAATAACAGCTAGTCCACTCTCACCATAAGCTAATTCACAGAAGTGCTGGTAATATAAGTTCCCACCTCTGACTATGAACTCTACCAGACCAGGAATTCTGCAAGCTCTTACTCATGCTTCTAACATTCACCTGCCCTCAGGCCAAAAGGTGCCAGGCACACAAAGGCGATTGGGTGAACAGCCCAAGGTAATGGATCTGAAGACCCAGAAGGTACAGTTTCTGCCTACGGCCAGACAGCTGGTCCTGGGAGTGAAGAGTCTAACCAGGGCTTGCCTGGTTAGACTCTTTAGCTCCCTACTCTAAGCAGAGAAACTAGGTCATTTAAGCGAATTTCCTCATCTCTAAGGTAAAGAAAACAAAAGTCCCTACTTCTTGGAGCTGTGTAGTATTAAATGAGATCATGCACTGAGAGCCCCAGTGGAGCACATGCAGGGATGACAAGTGCTTAAAACTCACTAGCTCTTTGTACCATAGGTGGATCATCCAATTTTAAGATTTCTGCTGGAACCAGGGACAGTGGTGCACGCCTATATCCCAGCAACTTGGGAGGCTGAGACAAGAGGATTGCAAATTCAAAGCCAGCCTCAGCAACTTAGTAAGACCCAGTCTCAAAGTAAAAAATAAAAAGGGCTGGGGATGTGGCTCAGTGGTTAAGCACCTCTGAGTTTAATCCCCTGTACCAAAAAATAAAAAATAAAATAGAGGGGCTGGGGCTGGGGCTCAGAGGCAGAGCGCTTTCCTCGCATGCGTGAGGCACTGGGTTGAATCCTTAGCACCACATAAAATAAAAATAAAGTTATTGTGTCCACCTATAATTTAAAAATAAATATTTTTTAAAAAAATAAAATAAAATAGACAGGGCTGTAGATGTAGCTCAGCGTTAAAAAGTGTCTCTGGGTTAAATCCTCAATACAAGTAGAGGATAGGAAAGGCAGCAGAATACAACAGACACTAGTATGGCAATATGTAAATCAATGGATGTGTAACTGATGTGATTCTGCAATCTGTATACGGGGTAAAAATGGGAGTTCATAACCCACTTGAATCAAAGTGTGAAATATGATATATCAAGAACTATGTAATGTTTTGAACAACCAACAATAAAAAATTTTAAAAAAAATCCTCAATACAATAAATAAATAAATAAATTTCCTAGAAATTAAAGATAAGAATGTGCACTTAGCTACATAAATGCCCTAAATTCTGCTCTTGAATGGGAAAAAAATACAAATCATATGAATATGCTCCAGGAGTTTTTGCTCAAAAGATTCTGAGATTGAGGCTGGCAGGCCCTCAAGACAAGAGTTAAGGGTCTCTGTAAGTTATCTTCTGTTTGTCCAACAATGGACAACTTAGAAAATTCTGTGAGCCAGTGCAACTGCTATCCTGTGGCTTCTGGTGGGGGGTGGGGAGGAGGGGTACACCAGGATTTCCTCCTACCATGCCAAGAACACTGGATCAAGACTGGGGCTCTTCCATGGAAACATAAAAATATACTTCAGTTTGCAGCTTGAAAGGTCAACCCATGTATATAGGGTATGAAATCCAAGGAAACCACTTCAAGGTCACAAGGCCACAATTATGAGTCTTCTGTGGTTTCAACAAAAGATCACTGTAATCAGAGACCATAATGAATGGAATAATCATGATGTAGAAGAAACTGAAAACTTTTAACTGAATCCACAGATTGAGAAGAACCAAAGAATTTACTAAAATGATTCTGATAAGCTGAACCCATAATACAGCATTCTGTCCCTCTGTCTCCCCAATCCAGGGTGTTTTTAATGGCCAGAAAGGTTTTCATGTACAATAAGTATAACCATCCTGCACCAATAAGAGAATGAGATGGAACTGCCCCAGTTCTCATTCCTGAAAAGGGATTGCTAGTTAAGTGGGGTAGAGGAAGCACTGATATACTAATAGAAGGGGTAAACATCACTGTCAAAGTCCATTGATTTCCAGAAACAACCTCCTCTTGTACTTCCAAAGCAGGTGAACACCATACAGAAAATATGAAGAATTTTTCAAAATCACTTTTGTTCTTCTTGGCATCAAGGGTTATCTTGCCACATTTTTGTCAATGTTGATCTTCAAGGAACAAATCATCTCCAAGCTTTGACATGAACCCTACGCAGAAAATATAACGAAGTGGTAATTCTTCAAGGTGCAGTAAATCTATTTAAGTGGGAGGGTTTCTCTGGGTAACTAAATGATTAGCTTTCAATACCCTACTCTTTAGAACAATCACTTCACAAGACGCTGTCTTCCTTCAAAGAGTTTTTAAAAGAAGAATGAAAGAAAACTCTCTAACGGGTGGACTGAGAAGCCATTCTTCCCAGGGGACACTCATTTGGGGCTCGGAGGCTAAGGCTTTGTGCGCGCGCCGCCCCCCACACCGCACCCCCACCCCTCCTCCCACAGAGACCGCTCCTCCAAGGTTTCCAAGGCCACCTGCTTCTCAGAAGAAAAAGGGGATACTGTGTGCGCTACCGCAGTGCGCGGTGGGCGTCCTCGCCGCTGCCCCCCGAGGCAAAGAAGGGGAGGTGTCCCCGGGAAGCATGCTTTGTCGCGAGGGTCGCGAGGGTCGCGAGGCCGCCCGCAGCTCCCCAGAGGCCCAAGAGAGGTTTTGTCTCCGGCGTCGCCCAGAGCTCTCCCCTAGGTTCTTTCCGCGCCTTCTTCAGGGCCAAACACAGGCATCCGAATCCCCCCCCGCCCACCCCACCGATCTAACGGCCCGCAACTGGGAACCTTCTCCATCCCGCCTCCGGCCATCACCGCACCTGCTCGGCCGCACCGGCCCCAGCTCTGAGCCAGAGCGTGGGGCTGTCCTTCCCGCCCGCCCAGGAGGATTCCGCTCCAGTCCGCGGGTACCCAGAGCCCCTCCGCTTAAAGTGGAGAGGGATCTGCGCTAGGGCGCTTGTCCCCGGGGGCCGCGCCCAGTCAAGCCCGCCTGCGGCGCCCACACCCCCGCGCGCACCGCGGCAGGGGCCGAGTCCAGGGAACCTGGCTTGCCCTACCGGGTCGTACCTTGTGCGGCGCCCTTAGCAGCCGATGGACCCCGGCCAGCTGGGTGCCGAGCGCGAGGTCCTCGCGGAACGTGAACAGCGGCGGCCGGCTGGGCTCGGGGAAGTTGGTACTGTTGAAAGGGTCGGTGTCGTCCAAGAACTGCACCCGGCAAGCCAGCGTGGCCATGATGCATCCCTGCCGCGGGGGGCACGGGCCCCGGGGTCAGCGGGGCCGCGGGCCGGGACACCCGATCGCTCGGCGTAAGGGAGGCCGCAGCCGCCGCTCGCTGGCTCGCGGGCTCGCAGGCTCCGGCGCGCCCGGCTGCAGCCCGGGCTCCGGCCGCGGGGGGCGGGGCGGGGGCGGGGCCGGCGCGCCCCCTCCTTCTCCTCTTGCTCCGGCTCCTCCCCTCCTGCGTTCCCTGCTGCACCCTGCGCGGGACCCGAATGCCCAGAGCCACCCGACCCTTACAGCTCCGACAAGTAAAGGGAGGAGGATTCTCTCCGCATCCACAGCCCAGCGCTAAGACGGGTGGCAACGGCAGGCCGGAACGCACGGCCGGCAGACTGCTCTGCACGTGGCCCCGCAGCTTTGGCCCCCGCTACAGCCCCTTGGATCCCTGAGAACAGGGTTTGGGAGACAAGGCCGCCCTCCGGCTTTTTCCCCACCTGGGGCGGGGGGGCGGGTAACCCTTAACAGATGAAAGTGGCAGCGGCCGGCTTCTTGCTGCCCGGATTCGTGAAAGCCCAGCTGGGCACCAGGGGGTGAGGGAATCGCCTCCCAGCACCGGGAGCCCAGATGTGGGCTTCCGGGAGGTTTTTCTTGGGGAGAAGGAAGGCTAGAGGAGAGAGAAGAGCCGGGGACCCCGGGCAGCTCTTCTCAGACGACAAGTTTAGGGGAAACCCGGGGGCACAAGGAGAGGCCTGGAGGGCTGCAAGACTAGGCGCAGGGCCTGGCCGGGGTACGCTAATTGGGCTGTGCATCATCACCGCATCCCTCCCCAGTTAGGTCTCTGAAAGCCTTAACTGGGCGTTTTGGAGCCTGGGAAAGGGGTGAGCTTCCGGTGAGGTCTCCGGATTGCGGACGGTGGCGGAGAACCCGGGATCCCCTCGTAATCTAGGGACTTAGAGGGAAACCTCCTCCAGCGAGGAGGCGCTGCCTTGCTCTGCTCTCCTCGCTGCTCACGGGCGACCCCCTTTGTTTCCAGTGAGAATTAACGGCTCTCTCCATTCCCAGGCTCTAGCTCAATTCGAAGTTGTAGGTCCCCGACATCCAATCACTATTAACACCTACGTCTCTGTGAAACAGCTCCTTAAGAAACCCTTATCTCATACTTAGAAGCCTCACGCTTTAACCATTCCCTCAGTGGGGCCTCCTTCCCCACCATTAAGTGTACATTTTGCCTGGTCTTAAAATAATCATCATCATCCCATGATACTCCTGCCCCTTCCAGCTGAGCTTCTGGTTCTCAGTACTTTTGCTCCTGATCTCTTTGAGTCCTCTAGACAGGCCCTACACCAACCTCTCCATCTCCTCAAGGCCAGAATAAATAAACCCATAAACCCGACACCTTTAACACCAGTTTCCCAGGCTCCCACTTTGGTCATCCACCTCCCTCCTTCCTGAAAGTCAAACCAGAACTTTTGGCCACCTATTTCTTGAATTTGGGCTAACTTGGATCCCAGCCCATCATTTCATGTCTCCTTGCATGCCCTTCCTTCAGCCCCACTTGTCCTTTAAGTCCCTGGTTTACTCCTGCCCTATCTGCCAAGTGCCTACTGACCTCGGGGCCTCTCTGTGATCCATTATCACCCTAAATTCCCTCAGTGGGCATCCCCCTCCCCTCATGCTGCTGCAAACTTCTGCCACTTTTCTCCACCCATGGATTACTCAGTAGGAAATCAGTCTCTCCAGCAGGTACTGATGAAGCTTAGCAAACATGAACTTCTAGTACCCACTCCTGGCCACTCTCCATCTGCCCTCTCAGAAAATGACCAGATTTTCTCTGCTCAAGGATCTGCCTCCACCTAGACTCTAGATTCCCCCTCTCCCATTTGGATCATGCCCTGATATAGTTACAGCCCCTTTTCTCCCTGGGCTCCTTCCCCCTGGGAATCAGGACTAGATTCCTGATGTGCAACCTATGCAGCCACACAGGACCCTGCTCTCAAAAGAATCCCCAAACTGATTTAATGCTCTGCCATTGGTGTCTTGAAATTCTTAAGACTGTTTTAGCAATAGGCCCTGCATTTTCATTGTGTGCATGGAACCCACAAAGAACGTAGCCAGGCCTGATGAGAATAAATACTCAAGTGTTCTCCACCTTAAAAGCTATATCTTTATGAAAACTGACTCTTCTCCCTCACTTCCTAACCAGCTTCCAAAAGAGAAAGACACTCACTCACCTCTCAGCATCCTCATCACCTCTTCTGCCCAATTTAATGGCGCCAGAGGGCAACATCTCTGCCATTCTAAGATCACCAATGCCAGCTTAATTGCCTCATCCAGGAGCAGGACTTCAATCCTGCCTTCACCTTTCTTGGCAGGATATGTCACCATGGCCCATTCCTTTCCCAAACTATTTCCTTCAGCCTCAGTGATCTACCCAATTTAGATTCTCACTTTCCCTCTTTCTCAGCTCCTTTTGGAGTCCTTGGCTCTGTGCTCTTCTTGGCCCTCTTCACATTCTTCCTGAAATTCCCTGGCTTCCATACACCTCAATCTGTGTGTATATGACATATAACTTTATACTCATGAAGGAGCCCATTCATCTTACTTCTAGGGCCCAATTTTCATGAGGCAATTCAACATCTTACCCTGGTTATCACACCACACAAAATGACACCCTCAACCCAACACCTCAACCCAGCTGCCCATCTAGGACCTCCTCTGCAAGGTTGTAAAAGACTGCTTTACCTGCTTGTCCATTGATTCCAATGCCTTCCAAGCCCTTGCAGTGTTGGGCATTGCAGTAATTGTTACTGTTAATTTACTCTCTATGCCACCAACAAATGGAAAACTCTGGGCAGGGGCCATACCACTTTTAGTTCTATGGCTAGCAAAGAGAAGTCACACAATAAATTTCTGATGAATGAGTGGATATTTCCTATGCCTGTCTTCTAAAGTGTCTCCTTTTTCCAGTCTTACATCCTGCATGTAGTCTTCCACTGACTGCCCCAGAACTAGTAATCATTCTAAGATATACATTTGATGTGCCACACCTTAAAGTCTTTACATTCCAAACCCTTTGGCGTGACTCAGGAGGGCCTCTAAGTCCTGCCCCTGTCTACCTCTCTAGGCTCATATCTTAGTCTTTCCTCCACTTAACATTCTGCCTTCAAGTCACAATGAATGTATCACCCTTTGCAAAACAGGCTGAGCTTATTTATGGTGAGCGTGTCTACCTAGAATGCTCTTACTGTCTAGTAAACAGGTGAACCCACCTGTCCTTCAACGCTCATTTCTAACACCAACTCTGGAGAGCTATGTCCAACTCCACCTAAACAAGGATTGTCTCCCTTTCCTCTGTAGTTTCAAATAACTTTAACTATGTCTCAACTGTAGCCCTTTCCAGGTTGCATTATAAATACCTGTTTACCCTATCTTATCATTTGCCTACCCCACTAAACTAGAATATTTTTAGGATTGGAATTCGTGTTATTTTTAATCTTACAACTTCAGTGATGGGCACTTAAGATGAAATCTTTAACTTATTCTTTTTGAGAGAGAGAGAGAGAGAGTCTTTTAATATTTATTTTTTAGTTTTCAGTGGACACAACATCTTTGTTTGTATGTGGTGCTGAGGATAGAACCCGGGTCGCACGCATGCCAGGCCAGCGCGCTACCGCTTGAGCCACATCCCCAGCCCAACTTATTTTTTTAAGAAGGCTCTTCATTCTATTATTTATAAAAATAAAAAATTTTAATTAATTTGTTTATAATTTTTTAATTTATTCTAATTTGTTATATATGACAGCAGAATGCATTTCAATTCATAGTATACATATAGAGCACATTTTTTCAGGTCTCTGGTTGTACACAAAGTAGACTCACACCATTCGTGTCTTCATACATATACTTAGGGTAATGATGTCCATCTCATTCCACCATCTTTCCTACCCCCTGGTCCCTCCTTATTCAATTCCCCAACTTGGAATTGAACCCAGGGGCACTCTACCACTGAGCTACATCCCCAGCCCTTTTTATTTTTATTTTGAGACTGACCTCACTAAGTTGCTCAGGCTGACCTCAAACTTGCAATCTTCCTGTCTCTGTCTCCCAAGTCACTAGGATTTCAGACATGTATCACCACACACAGCTCAATTTTTTTATTATTTTTTTCTTGAACAACTAAGTCTTCTCATATCCTTTCAATAGCTCAGAAAATGCCTGTCTTAGACCAAATCATATTGTTTTGGTATGTGTGTGTACAAATATATAACAATGAATCCCACATTATATATAATTATAATGCATCAATAAAGATTTGGAAACAAAATGCCTCTGGAAATATTGTCAAAACCTCTCAATTCCGCATTTTCCCCTGATGGAAACAGTTCATCAAGTCTTTCACTCTCTTGTTCCAAATTGGTCTTTGTGGCTCTCTCAAACCTATGCTGCAGATTCCTTTGTAGAAACCCCTTAAGTATACATATACCCTTCTGATAAAGGTAAGTCTTTGGGAATTATCATGCCCTAGAGCACCTTTATTCACTGTCTTCATACTTGCCTTGGTATAGTAGTTTTGGTGGCAAAAATGACAACAATAAAAATGTCCTCATACCCCTTGTATCTCCACTATTTTGCACTATGACTTTGCCACTTCTGTCATTAAAGGGTAGAGCCTATTCCCTCATCCCTTTAATAGAACTGGCTTTGTAAATTGAGATGACCAAAACAATATGGCACAAATGACATTGTGTGGCTTCTGAAGCTAGGTCTCAAGAGACCTTATGGCATCTTCTCTCACCCTCTTGGAATACTGTTCAAAGACTACCATTTCAAGATGCCAGGTCTAGCTTAGGAGAAGTGCTCAGAAAATTGCTACTGACTAGGGGGAAAATGGTTACTGGGTTATATAACAATGAACAATTGGCAAAGTGAAATCGCCTACAATAATGTAGAAGATACAAAAGGAATGTAATGAATTTAGAGAGTTGATAAAGGAGATGTCTAAGCAGAATGTTGAA